GTTGGTGAGATAGAGGATAGAGTTGAAGGGCCACGTGCAATTTTTAAATAAATTTTTTATCCCTTCTTATACCGTCAAGCCAAGTATTTACTTTTTGTCAAAGATTCTAGTTATTATCGTTACTCTAGTTACTTTAGTTAGTTATTCTAGTTATAAACCAGGTTTAACGTGAATTATAAATAATACACGATGGTGAACTAATTGATCAGAATATTAAGTGTAACCATAACCTATAAATTGTACCTATTCACGTAAAACTGAACATTTTTCATATATTCGTTCGATCTTTCCCAAAAATTAAATATAACCTCTGGAACCGCCATCTTAGAAACCCTTTTATACCCTACATCTTCGGCACACGAATGAAATCTATAGTACACTCAATAACGAATGTGCTTTTGTCCTCCTTTCGATCACCTATTCTAAAATAAAAATAATTAAATTTAAAATGTATCGAATAGTAAATGTGATGTATGTCTGATCTTAAAATAAAACAAGATGCTTCCCTACGACTTGAAACATCCTACCACTTCTCTCTCTCCATACGCAAACCCTTACCCCTATCGATACAGACCTAACCTAACTCTATCTACACCGAACCCCAGCGAATCGAACGGAACGCAATTACTCGTCTAATTACCAACTTCGCGGTAATCTTATTCCCTCTATCGTGGTAACGTTGACTCCTAAACATCCCTGTTCTGGGAGCAGAATCCGTGCACACAGCAGTGCATGAAGTCGTCACTCGGTCAGGATTGCCGGAGACTCAATGACGACTGACGAGGCGTCCTAGGGGTTGGAGACTGGGGACAAAGATGGACGTAGGCTGGATAGAAAGAGAATCGCCGTTAAAACGGAATAGACGGGGTTAGAGGACGGAAAGAAAGAGGAAGATAAAGGAAAGAGAGCGGAAGAGAGGAGACAGAGAGAGAAGCGAGAGGGAGAGTGTGGCTAGTGATTGGATTACAGTCAGGGAGTCCCCGTGGACTCGCCAAATGACCGGGACAAATTGCCCCTCGCCTTCGGGAATACTTATATATCTGGAGCGATCGAGCTTCACGTGTCCTCTCAGGTCCTGTTGCCTTCCTCCTGTGCACACCCACCCACACATTTGTACAGTGCCTACAAATGACGACAATGAGCGTCGTCTTGTTTGGTGTCTTGCCTCTGGAAGGCTAAGAAGGAGGACTAGTGAGATGTCGATATGAAAGGTTCATCTGATATTTTGCTTGCTTCTCAAGACTTGTTTCTAATTTCGGAGCTTTCGGATGTTTGGCGAGATTGTGGTACCGAAGTTGTCGTAAAAGGTTTATATACTTCTTGTATATTCGCACGTGTGAACAGATCGCTTGTGGAAATTCTGGAATTTGTAGAAGTTTGGTGATGTGTCTAAAAAAATTGCAGGAAAAATTTTGGCAAAATTTTAGCCTCCACGAAATGGAAAATTTTGACAAATTAAGCGTCATCGCGATCGCTGCATAAGGGAAAATTCGAAGATTTTTGAATAACAGTTGGAATTAAGTCTGGAAAATTCGTAAGAATGCCTTTCGTCGTCGACCTCGCGCACTGTACGGCCGAACGTCCCGGGGAACGTGTCCACCCCTGGAAGGTGGACGGACACACCTCTTGGATGCGGCAATTCCACCCGGCCTGGGCGTTTCTCACCCCGCACCACTCTTCTTGACGTAATAACCTGGCGTTTACCCATTGTTTATAGTCCCGGAGCATCGTAAATCGCGCGCAGGTAGTTATCGTTACTGCCAGCGTGTGCGTCTTCGAGAATTCGAATTCAGCCAGCGCGATCGGTACAGATCGGTGCATCGATGGACAATTGCACCATTCTCTGTGTATACGCGAAAGGGTGGGGCTGACGACGACGAGGATGACGGTAACGACTCTCTCAGGGGCTCTGCGAGAGACGTTCCTCGCTGCCGTATCGCTGATGGCCTTTTTACATACTATCCCCGTGGTGCTTCGTGGAAAGAAAAAATGGTTAGTAATGCTGATCGGACATGTCACATAAAATCGAGAGCTGTATGAGTCACCCAGCTCGTGTCTCTCGTGGTCTAGTGAGAGTGGTGTCCGTTTAATTGCGGTTCGACGTAGATCGTTGAATCGTGATGGAAAGATCTGATTGAAAATCGAAACTTCTTGGGTATTCCTCTAATTGGTGGTTTTGAGAGTCCGAGGATTTATGAAGAGATTCTGGACTTGCATTTTTGATGGAATGCCTAGTACTTGTAGCAGTAGCAGGTTTTGATGAATTGGACAAGTTTGGTTTATACAAGTTTGAAGAGATTTGAGATGGGACATATTTTTCCTAACTTCTGTTAATACACATTTGAAGTTTCTTTAAATTTGGAATTCTGAAGGGAAATATTGATGAAATTTTTGGAGCCATGCTATGTAACTTTTAAATGCAAAGTGCCATTTATAAATAAGTAAAAGTGTAGTTATAGTAACAGTATAGTATCAGTAGGAATAAAATAATTATTTTATTAAATTAAAAATATTAAATATTAATACGCTATAACTATAATTAACTCTTTGCACTCCTAACTGTTTCAACATTCTTTCCAATAATTCCCTGTTGGATAAGATGTAATTTAAACAAATTTTTGTTATCAATTTACCATTAATACTAGCACTGTAAATGAAATTAAATTCGCATTACCCTAAACGAAGCATAATTTAAAAGCTTGAGAAACACAAGTCTAAACAATCCTTGAATAAGCTACCTAAATTCATATTTCAACATTTTAATCCCAGTTTCCTCGAGGATCGATAACCATGTCCTTCATCAAATTTCTTATCCGATATTCCAGTTTCTTCTTCTATGAGGGTCATTAGTTAAACGTTACTTGGTATGTACGCTGGGAAATGTGCTTAAAGTAGCACGTAGATTCGCGAAGAAGATATCTTTAGGCATAGTTAAGGTACCAGCAGCGATTAGTTCGGCCATTAAAGAAAGCGGAGGAAACTAGGAATCGGTCGCGTTATCTCTGCGCTCAATTAGATCCGTAAAGAATGGCGTATAGCTCATTGATCCTCTTTGGTTCTGGTTGTAGTCGATCGACCCTCCGACCTTTTTCTCCACACGTTCCGTTGTGTTACATTCCTCCACAAAATATCGTGCTAATTTGACATTCTCTTTGAACCTTCGACACAGAAAGACGACTTTTCGCGTGACACAATAGTTACATTCGTAGATCTATCTTCTTATTAGTTAGTATATGTGGCTTGGAGATTTATTTCAGATAATAATATTTGTCAATATTATCTAGTGGATTATTGGATAAATGTATACTATAGAAGCTGGTTAATATAAATTTTTGTATGGTACTTTCAAGTCTTGTTATTTTTTAAATTAATGTAAGAAAAGTACGCTAGCATCTTGGGTGTGTGCGTTAGAAATAAAATTATTTGAATTACTATGCATAGAAGCTCACTGTGAATAAATTATTCGATGGTAAGCTGCTGATATTTTCAATAAAAAGGTTATACAATAGCTATACTAAGTAATCCCAATTAGCAACACTGCTTGGTACCTACTAAGAAAAGGTATCATCGACATTACTCGTTAACCAACGTAATACGTCAAGTGTTATAATAATATTATCAATAATACTAATTACAATTTTTAAACCTCGACGACAGAATCACCAATTATTCTTCCTATACACACCTAATCGAACCATGTCATCCCCACTCATTTGCCTCAAACCTAACATCACCTGAATTAGAATAGATACTAACAGTGTTCTTCCTTATATAATAATAATAAATCCAAATTTAAATATAATCTATTAAATATAAGTCCAAGCTTCTACTTAATCTAACCGTATCGACACAGATATCGAGGTATCGTAGAAGAATTCCTGGTATAAGGAGCCGGTGTAAATGGGACAATAAGACCGAGAACTCCGCGTCGAGGTCTCTCCGTAACTCTCCCTCGACTCTTTGGATTTCTCCCTTGGCAGGTCTGCTGCGTGGGGTTACGGAAAATCGGGATGCAGGATATCCTCGATCTGATTGTTCACGGATACAGCTGCTGACATTCCCCGTACACGTACGACGAATAGATATTATCCAGGTCTCGAGAGGATTCTCCGAGCACGTGACTGGCGCGCATCATAATAAAGCAAGTATTAACCTAGTTGTTAACTGGTTGCGTTACTTATACTGTTAAGCCCCCGTTACTGTGTACAACACGCGCTTGCCTCCCTGCAAATCGTCTTGCATTTTAATCTTCGTTATGCAGTTACTCGACATCTTCCGGATTTTCTGTTATGTTCGTATGAAACACGTCTCTCCTCTTTTTAGGTACTAGATTCGATATACTTTGTACGTGTCGCTGACTATGAAAGTGGTCTAAGTCATTTTGAAATGTCTAGAGTCTCGTGATTGAGATACACTATAGATTAAAAAAATGTATTACGGCAGAACTAGGAATTCTGCTTTATTGTAACATATTCAAAATTCAGAAGAATTTTTCGTTTAGACCACTTTCATAATATACACGTGTCCTATATGGGTTCTTTAAAATCCTCATCTTATTTAAAAATGGATGTTTCAAAATGTTAAAGAACGTAACATTTTTCATAGCATAAGAAGAAATCATGCATAATTCTAAATGGATTAACAAATTGAACTATCTTAGGTACTGCTACGTAATTTTGAATATTGTCTATCTATTTTTTAAATTTTATTAAATGGCAACTCCTACAATGCTAACTGACCTACCCTGAATATTCCTAAAACGATTATTGTACGTAAGAAACCAATTGAAACATCAAAATCATATCGAAGAAAGCCAAGAAATCAAAAGACCTATTCATTACACCCCTTAAATCCTCTGGTTTAAATTCACAAGCCATGCTCAGGTGTTCAGAAGCGACAGCCAATCACGAACCTCGCGAATCATCGTTGTCCAATCATCCAGGGCGAGGAATCAGATCGAGGCAATTAAGTCGCAATGCTCATTCCTCTTAGGGGTGGATTTACTGCTGTTTAACCCCAACTAACTTCTTCGATAAATAAGCTATACAAGCGGAGCTTACGGGGTGGAGACACATGGAGTCGCAGAGTTTGTTGTCCCAACAGAGGCGATCTGATTGCCAGTTAGTGGAGTCGAGTTAGCGCCAGTTCTGACTTTCACGAGTCCTCTTGAGCGAAGTCGTAGAGGGGATAAAACAGGAAAGGAGAAAAGAGACATCGTCGAGGAGTTGCCACGAGGAAGACCGGCCTCGTTTCGTTGAAGAGGGGCGAGTGCAAGCTCCTGATTAGTAGCCTTCGTCGGTCCTTGGGAGCGAACAATCGTCGTCTAATTCACCAGCCGATTCGATCTCGTTCGGCCACTTAGCCTTCTTCTAGTCGCGACTCCAAGTCCGCTTCTTTCCGTTACCCTCTATCCTACTTCGTATTTTTGTTTCTTTCTTGGCACGTAGATCGTCGTTCGCAATTCTCAGACCATCTAAATGGCCCTGGACCAGTCGAGGATTTGCTGCTTGGCGCTGGAAATTTCGCCATGATCAATGTATCGGCTAATCGACGTTTATCTATCGTATCAGGGCTGGATTTTTAGGTAAGTCTGGAGTTGGAATGATGTAAGGGGCAGAACTGATGTTGGCGAAGTTGATTGAAAACTATTGTTCTTGGGGGAGTTTTTAATGAATAGTCAGTTGAAGTTGAAATGTCGGCAATGTTAGTTAGAGTTGTAATCTTTAGAACTTGTAAAATAGAGTGACTGATAAGGTAGATGATAAGAAGTTTCATCTATTGGATTGTTGAGTAACATCAGGACTCATTGTAACTCGAAATGTAATATTATTGGTGTTATATAAGTATTATGCAACGTGTATTGTATATAGATGCAAAATAAGTTGTATGAGATAAAGAAGAAAATTAGTAATAATGGATGTTGTAGGGATGTTCTGCATTTGGTATAATTACCGGTTTGCAGAAATATGTGTACGTGATAAGTAATCAGTTGGTGTTGGATGATTTTTCGCCGATCGCCGTTTATCTTCCAATGTTTTCGTTTTTCTGCGATTCTGCAGGGACTCAGTTCCCCAAGGTGCATTACTTAATTGCTTTCATGATGATCTTCTGGAAGAGTGAGTATTTGAAGGATCGTTATTCTTCTCTGGGAAAGATTACATCTAATGGTATCTTGATAATGGTACTTACTGATAGAATCCTCTATTTTTATCATTTATAACTTATTCTTCCTTCAACGAGAAAGGTTGCAATCTTTATATCTTCTTTAGAAAAATCAATTAATCAAATCTTGTACTCAAATTTTATCTTGAAGGTTCCAAGTACCTTCAAGATTACTTCTCTTCATAAGCTTTACTAGAAATTGCTATATTTAAGAAATCATAGAAAACAGTTAACATCACAACCATTAATCTGCAATGTATAGTTAAATATACTATACTCAAACAATGACACCTGAAGTGAGACAATGAAGATAAATAGCTACATATATCAGTTTCCAATACTAATAATAAATGCAAAATTGTAGTTCTATAACCATATCTACAACTCTAAACTTAGTTCAATAATTTTAATATTAACTCCATCTCCAAAAAATTCCTTTCTTCTCCACCATGAAACACCATCCTCTAAACCAAATCATGATAGAAACTTCACCCCTCACCAATAGCCAACAACACCCAGCGAACATATCTCGACACACAACCTGCTCCCAAATTACAAAGATTCACTGCCGATGAAATCCTCGTATCCCCGAATCTTCATTCTCCTATCTAACATCTTTTGATTCATCTCCTTCTTTTGCAACATCTACGAGCTACAAAGTCGAACTCTTCAGTCACCAATTCGATATATCGCGATGAAGCTTGTACCGTTCCATCGTTCCCCGGTGCTCGTTATGCGCAACTATAAAGGGTCGTCGATAACGTGGAAAAATAGGACGTAGCATGAAACGCGCGGTCCTCGTCGAACTTCTCGGATCGGAAGCTGAAATATGTCTGGAGCAGTAAATCCTATCGCATCCCGTCCGAACTTACCCCCGCCCCTATGGCTCGCTGAAATCGTATAACCGTACGAAAGAGGGTTGACGCGAGAAAGGGCCAGGCTTGAGCGCGTGGAAGGCCTTAAAAGTTGTACGTCGGTCTTGGGACGGGTTTAATATGCTGGCAGTCGCATCAGATTCAAAGTCGAGTAATTCATAAGGACCAGACCGTTCGACAGAGTAGCTGACGGCCCCAGAAAAATGGATAAAGAGGCTGTGTGTGTTTTCTTCTTCCTCTCTGTCGCAATTTCCGTCACGGTTTTTTGCTTTATATCACTTTAATATATGTGGAAAGTTTTAATGGAAATATCGAACGAACCTAGCGACACTTTTTGGAGTGTTTGTTTGATATCTCGGAGTTGCAAGTTCTCCAGCTCGGCCGAGAAAATGGCGGAGGCTGGCGACCATGGCGAGTCATTTGTTTCGTGTACCCTGAGTTTTGATGCAGGTTTTGTGGATTTGATCATTTTTATTTGTGGTTATGATTTGAGAAATTTTTAGGTGAATTCTGTTTCCTGTTTCTGGGTGAACACGAGATAGAATATTCAGATTTTTAAGGTTTTGATATTACTAAAATATTTTTATAGTTAGTATATTATATTAGTCTATATTTGTTTTACTTTAATTATATTACCTATATACTGTACATTGCATCAGTATAAAGTATAATGTAGCTATATAATATATATTAATGTATATAGCGGTGGATAAACAGAATTTCTTTTATCCATCACTGTTATAACATAATATACATTATATTAACTAGATATTATGTAATATTAAAGTATTGAAAACCTCCAGTCCCTCAATTTACAAACCAACCTAATAAGCCCTAACTAAGACAATGCTCCCTAACATTTTAAATAACATTACTCCAAAACAATACATATTTTTCTATTCAACAAACAATCTCAAACAACCTCAAACCATTTACCACCCAGAAAATTGAAATCTTCTACTGGGTTCTCCCAATTTTTCTCTATATTCCACATATGCGTGAATTCGCCTACAGTACTATAGAATCTATCACACCAGAATTTTTCTCAGATCATACAGCCTTCCTTCACAGTTTGAAATACCTTATCACCGCTAATACCTGCGCCATGTTCGCCTCACGAAGGCTTTGAACAACCCTCGTGCGATCTTCACCGGTAATCCACGGCCGGGTCAGTCCTGACACTTTCCATGAACTTGTTCAAGTACGTATGGCAGGTGTAGTGGCTCGGACAAAAGAGCAATACGCTTCGAACGACCCTGATAGCGTATTGTCACTTGTCGGGCGCAGCGTGTATTGTCCTCGCCATGGAGGTCCACTTGATCACGATCCACCGGTACTCGAGGCTCGCTCGTGTACCAGATAAGATGTCGATTGAAATTCATGCAGTCCTCTCCCCACCAGGGCTCACCTATCGCCAGCACAAATCGCTCGTCGTATTGTTTCCGACCGAATCTCGGATCGGGCCTCGGAGTGTCGACACAACTCCAGGCGAGTCGCGATCAGAACGATTTGCAATTCCTCGACCGCGGAGTATCATCTGCCTGGACCGCGAGATCCAGATGAGAAGGCTCTGGGCCCTAGATAGAGGCACGTTCGGAGTGTCACTCGATGGGCGAAGAGATTCTTGGCTTCCCAAATTTTTCTCTCGTTTCTTAACAATCGGTTTTTCATTTATCGCAAGTGTCGTTGATGTGACATTCTTGGCTTGGTAGGACGAATTGGTTGAAGGTTTCGTAGAAGGATTTTCTTGGGATTTGTTTCTGGTATCTGGAATGATAAGCAATATTTTAGCGAGAATTGTAATTTATGAGGATCGTATGAGAATTTTCGCAATGAAAAGTTTCATTTCAGAACAACAATTAATTTAATTTTTGTTACTAGAAACAAAATGGAGTAACAAATTATAGGTAACCATTGTCTACATAGTAGAGCCACTGGAGTGTAAATTAATCTTGATGTACACAGAGTTAGGAATATTCTCATTATTTTATCTCTCGAATATAAAAATAAATAGAAATTCCCAAAAATATTTATAAAACGTGACGATGCGATCGATAGATAATAAATACTAACTCTCACTAAGCTAAATAATCTATTTACTAAATATTTAGAAATAAATCGATATCGCATAATATTCGGCACAATTTTATTTATACTCCTATGCAACGTTCCATTTGAAACACGATAATTAAACTTACATGTATATCGTTTTAGTTTCGGTTATGCTTCAACTACGCCTCTCGCAAATCACTCGATATGAATCCCTGCATACAGGCTTCCCCATTCCTTACCTCTGGTTCCAGTAGCGCGGTCGTGCTCTCGTTAGAAATTAGTTTCAATCCGGCGTATCAAATTTGCGACTAAAGAAATTCTTCTAGACGTCGTTCGGTCCCATCGACATTTCAGTAAACGATCCGATTTCGGGGACCGAATTATCCAACAGACGTGGAAGTGGCCCGATAACGATTTACGTCGAAACGCGCGCTCCCGTTCACGAGCGATCGATCAAAAACAGAGAAAAACGCGATGGAAACCGAGGAGTAACGAGGAGAAAGAGAGGTTAGGTGCTCGCGTCGCGTCACGGAACGGAGAAAGAAGGAGTAACGAGAGAAGTGTCGAGAAGGAAGACGAGCGAAAAAGAAAGAGAAGAAGAAGAGAGTGGGGATGGTGGAACCTCCTTTTCTTCCTTTCTTCCATATCCCCAAGGAGTAACTAACTGAACGAGAGTCAGGATAGAGGGTGTTAAGGTAATGCCCCATTAGTATGTGGCCCCCGTAGTAGCGCCGTAACACCACCGCACAGTGGTCAAACCGTGGTTTGTCTCATCGTCGTGTGTCCCCTTTGGTCGAGGACCGTGTGTGTACCCGGCACACAAACGCGGTCCTCCACTGTCGCACACACACAGACACACACGTTTTGGTCGAGGACCGTGTGTGTACCCGGCACACAAACGCGGTCCTCCACTGTCGCACACACACACACACACACACACACGCGTACGTGCCGCGCGTATGTAACTGCCGTACGAGAACGAGACCTGTCAATAGCCGGCTTGTTACCGCGACAATGATCGGCTTAACCAACGGGAAAGATCCACCCAGACGTACTGGATTTTAGGAACGGAAAGACCACCGGATAGCGTGTCAACATCGTTTCCCTTCGTCGCCGCGAGACTATATCGTCGGGAGATTCTGCTTCTGATTCGAATCGTCATCTCGATGAATTTGGGAACACTCGAGGGCCCCGTCGCGATTTATTGGCTGGATTACGTTGGATCGAGTAATCGTAAATATTGAAAGCCGAGTTTTTGGGGAGGATACGAGAAAATGTAGAAATATTGAATGGAGGAGATTGTTTAATCGCTGCTTTCGTGGAATAAGCTACGTTTATTGGTACTGCGTATTTGGTTAGGTTATGTAGCGGTAGGTGTTTATACGAAAGCGTTGTTAAGGAATTTTTCTCGTCTCATTTTAGAGCACAAAGAAACTGAGAATGACTCTTGATACTGTGCATGGGAATATTAATATTTCATGTTAAAGAATTTTACTGAATATCGTGGAGGAATTTGAGTTTCGAATAAAACTATTTCAAATCCGGACGAAAAATCGAAATTTTTGTTTTACTTTCCTGACGATATTAGTTGCAGAAATGAGTTATAACCCAAAGTTTTAAATCAACATTTGAAATTGCAATGTCTTTCAGCAGTTCACTCGAGTATAAAATGAACAAAACAGAACATAACCACAACGATACTACTGAGTTATTATCGTTGATTACGGTGGATTTCGTTACACAATTATTTTTACACTAGCAATTTATTCACTCGATACAAGCACTGATAGGAACAATGTAACAGTAGACGCATACGTACCGCAAAATCACAGACGCATCGTGCGATCATTATTTTCTTAGAGTTGACAGGGATTATGTTCTAGGTCCACGAGTCACATGAGACGTGTGCGTGACGAAAACGTAGGTTGGTTATCGTTCAGAGACATCGACTACCGTGAAACCACTGCTGCCCTCTTTGTCACTCTCCTTCTGAGAATCTCGCAGATATACATATGTGAATTGCTAAATATTTCCTAGTTTCGAATTTCTGCACGCGACTCATAAGATGATACTTTTATTAAAATTAAAACGATTCGATGTAAAAAAATTCTGATATCTGAAGGTTAGTTGAGTTACGTCATTTGACGCGAAATAATAAGAACCCGTAAAATAATGCGAGTC